TTTGCCAACATTTTCTAAGTTCTAAGAGTAAACAGAATGTTCTCCACTCCTCCAGAGCTGCATTCGGGCTATCTTGATTTGTTTATGGTGCCTGTGTACCTGAGTCTGTGCCCAGATTGCACGCTGCCCAGAAGAGGTCCTAATACACGGGCCCTTCAAGCAGCTGAATGAAGGCTGTATATTCAGAGTGGCTCAGGCTCTTGTAGGCTTGGGCTTCCAATCTATTTAATTTGGAGAGGAATGTTTCTGTCCTGGAAAGTGTCTGGTTCAGTTTTGTATACTGTCTTTCTACTGAAGAGAAAAGTTGGTATGTGTAATTTGTTATGCTTTAAACATAAAGGATGTCTGATCTCTTGGGATTTAAGTTGTGGTTTTTCTTAGGGTGCTGGGTAAACGTGGGTAGTATTAGACTTCAAAATATTTTTATCTCTTTCTGGGTTACATTACTGATTATTTTATTGTGTGATTGAAAAGAAAGTGTGATCCTCAGTCCCCTTATCCCAGTTAGGCTGTTTGATATTTGCTAAGAGATTCATTTAGAAGCAGAGGGAGAGGGGCAAGTGGACTCCATGCTAAGTGCGGAGCCTGACATGGGGCTTGATCTCACAACCCTGAGATCATAACCCAAGCCGAAATCAAGAGTCAGATAGATGCTTAACCAACTGAGCCACCCAGGAGCCCCTATACTAGGTCATTCTTAAGGATGGTTAACACAAAGAATGTTCCTAGACATCCTATTTCTTAATCCTTTTCTACTATCTCCAACACACAAGGGGTATTCATTGAAAATCTTCTGTTGACTATTTTATGAAGTGCATTCACATACAAAGCATTATATAATTCTTTTAGCCCCTTTGTTAAGTAGATACTCTGGCTTATAAAAGGAAAAAAGAGGTTAAGTGACACAGTTTTGAGATAGGTCTGGAATGCAACTGTAACTCAGCGTGAATGGTGAGCTATGATGAATCCTTGTTTACAGACAAATCCTTTAGGACCTTGCTTTGCCACTTGATACAGTACAGCTCTTCCAAGTCCTGTGACTGACTAGTTTGGAAATTGGACATCACCTCTTGTGGTGTTCCTTAGCCGTTTTTAGCTTTCTTTAGCAATTTGTTGCCAAATACTTTGTCTACTTTACTGGTTGTTTTAATATTTCTCTATATTATCCTTCCTAGGAACACTTGTAAATTTTAGTGTATGTGTGTGGGGTTTTTTTGGGGGGGCAGACTTTGGAGTTGGGCTTAAATTTGCCAGTGAAAATTAGCAAGATGGTTGTGGGGAGGAGGAGGAAGCAGGCTGTGAAATACATGTTAGACTGTGTTAATAGAGACTCCCAAGATACCAAGCCATTTTCCTTTGTCTACAATACATTATCTCCTGGTGCTCCTTTTCCCTTAGATGGCACTGTCTTAACACATACTGTTTAGATCCCAGGTCTGTGGAGCCTTGCCTTAACTCTTCTCTAAGGCAAAGTTAATTGCCCTCTGCTCTCTTTGCATAGCACTTTGTTCAAAATTATATTTATTTGGGTCTATTATCATCTATTTATCTGTCTTCACTTCCAGACTGCAAACTTTCTTATTTGTATCCCTTAAATGTAACTGTGTGCCTGACTCAGGAGGTGCTCATTATTGTTGACTTACTAGAGTGAAGCAGTGTAGGGTATTGTTTAAGTATATTGGGTCAGACATGCCTAAATTTGAATTTTTGATCTGTCAGAGCTTTGTGACCCCCCTCAAAGTTTCAGTTTCTTCATTGGTGATTTGGGAATGAGAATAGTTGTCCCATGGGCTCATGGTGTGAGGTAAAATAAATCAGCACGGTGCCTGGCATAAATGTTCCATAGTTGATAATTACCAGTGTGGTTGATGTAATATTTGGGGATTGGGGCCAGGAGTATGTGTTCCAGTTAGATGACAGATGAAATGGATCTCCTCTCAGCCCTTTAAGTAAATACTGAGTAGGGATTCAGTTTCAGAGGGGGATGAAACGTTTCTGAGTTCCAGGATGGAGGTATGCTGGCCACTAGGGACCAGTTTCTTAATTTTTTTTTTTTAAGGATTTTATTTATTTATTTGACAGAGAGAGACAGCGAGAGAGAGAACACAAGCGGGGAATGGGAGAGGGAGAGGCAGACTCCCCGCTGAGCAGGGAGCCCGACATGGGGCTCGATCCCAGGACCCGGGGATCATGACCTGAGCCGAAGGCAGATGCTTAACGACTGAGCCACCCAGGCACCCCGCAGTTTCTGATTCTTGATGAAAGTTCTGTCATTGAGAGGGAGGTTGAAATTCTAGACTATCCTTTGCCATAATCCATTATAGATGTGCTAGGATGTTTGGGGCAATCTACTGAAAAATTGGCTGGTGTATTTGGTTTGTCTTCTTGTTGGTAGATTTGGTTGTAGTTACTAATTTTGGTTTGGTTGGTGGAAGAGATTGTGGTTGGTCTAAATTGGTATTTTACTACATATGCTTAGTATAGTATCGATTTATAACCTTTCAGTTGACCATTGAGTTTGTATATTGTTCCTATGGTTGAGCAACCTAATAACATAGACTTCAAACTTCTATACAAGTAATGACCTTGGCTTTTTTTTTTAATTTATTTATCAACAGATAACTCAAATGCCTGAAGAATTATACTTAAGTAGAAAGTAACCTTAGGGTTTTGAAATTCAGACCTGGGTTCAAATCCCAGTTTTGCTGATGTGTTTGTGAACTTGTGATCTTGATATCAACCTTCCTTTTCTGTAAAATGAGGCAGGTAAGGTGAATGGTATCATGTTGCTACTATCATTATTACTATTGTTATTAACTGTAAGTCAGCGACATGTGGCCCAACTAAAAACAATGGTATATTCTTTAAACGATTTTTTTTAAAGATTTTATATATTTATTTGAGATAGAGAGCACGAGAAGGGGGGGAGGGTCAGGGAGAAGCAGACTCCCCGCTGAGCAGGGAGCCCGATGTGGGGACTTGATCCTGGGACTCCAGGATCGTGACCTGAGCTGAAGGCAGTTGTTCAACCAACTGAGCCACCCAGGTGCCCCACAATGATGTATTCTTTTTTTTTTTTTTAAAGATTTTATTTATTTTTTTTTGTCAGAGAGAGAAAGCACAAGCAGGGGGAGCGGCAGGCAGAGCAGGTAGAGGGAGAAGCAGGCTCTCTGCCAAGCAAAGAACCCAATGTGGGACTCGATCCCAGGATCCTGGGATCATGACCTGAGCCGAAGGCAGACGCTTAAGCGACTGAGCCACCCGGGTGTCCCTCACAATGATGTGTTCTTGATGCAGGAACCACATATAGCTGGAAAACATTTTTGTCACTCCAGCCTCTTCCTGCACTTCCCTCACCTGGATGGTAGTAAGTGGGTTTGTAGCCAGCTACTGAATAAATGATGCTAGCATTTAGAAGACACAGCAATTTGGAACCTGAGCACTGTACAATGACTCAGTATTTCATGACTGCCCATCATTTAAGAGCTGTGTTTCAGTATGAAGCAATGCTGATAACACTGGCTGGGCTAGTGGAGTAGCTTTACAATGGTTAGTGTTTCTTCAGGGACACTCAGAGAGAGCCAGAGGGTGAAAAACAGCTCTGAAAGAGAAATGTATTCAGACTATGCTGTATTGCCAAACTGATAAATGTAGAAACAGAGATGTCTCTGATACATAAGTAAACAGCTGAAAGAGTTGATGTATTCTGGTTTAAAATGTTTTTAGGGAATTAGTAACTTTAATATTTTAAAAAGTAAGCAGTGTTACTAAAGGTTTTACAGTGGGGGACAAACACAAAGCAATCCATATGATGTTATTAGTGGAGGAGATAAGGTTGCAAATCTACCAGAGGCAGGAAAAGGTTACAAGTTGGAGATAAAGGACTAAGAAATTAAAATTCAGATTTTAATGTATCCTAATGATAGGTGCCAAAGTTACTTTCCTCCAAGAGTCTGACATCAGAATTCTATTTATAAACATTTTCTTGCTTCCACTACTGCTGTCAAGGATGCCTGGAAGGGAGTATTCCTTAAAAGATAAGGGAGTATTGCCTATCTGTTTTATGATATACCTGTGGAGCAGGGTTTCAACAGCTTCATTTATCTTCTAGTTAGAAAAGAGATCTGGTAAGAGGTCATGCATGTGCTGTCATCTGGCATGATATGCTGTAATCCTTGGTTACATTTAGAGGCTTTTTCATTCTAATATTTAAGGGTTCTGAGTAGCAGTAGAAGTTATGGGTTAAATTCTAAACTAGGAGATACTTTTTGGGTAACTTCTTAGTAATGTCTCTGACATTTGTTTAATTGCAGATCTAGATAGACACTAATGGATGTTACAGTTTCAGTGAGCAGTGAAGTTTATTGTCTCGGAAGTAGAATGAAGTAGACTCAAAATTATATAGAATGTTCATCACCAGTTAGATTTCTTAATAGCCCAGAAAAACCTCTGTATAAATTCTTTTAAAGAAATGGAGCTGAAGGGGAAGCAAAAGTAGTTAATGGACGATGTTGGACCTGGGAATTCTGAATGAGTCAATTCAATTCCTACAGGGTGTCCTGTCTCAAAGAAATTAGGGCAGTATGTGATGGAAAGCTTGCAGGGCTCCCAGTGGCCTTCCTAGTTGTATGCTTTCAGAGGTAGCAGTGGTCATGGTATCTTCCCATACAAGATGTGATTTAGCTTGTTTTCTTCATTTTGGGGACTATGCACAGCAGTTTTAAAAATGATGTTCTCTGGTTGGTTCATCAGGAAGGAACTAAGCCTCATGGCTAAATTCCAACACAGACTAATCTTCTAATCTTGTCCTTAATTCTCTATTTAGTGAGTGTTGGAACAGGTTTCCAGACTGCTTAAAACTAATCCAAGGGTACAGTAAGAAAAGACAGCCTGAGGGATGCAGCTGTATGTATGGAACTGTGTGGTTTGTTGTGTTCTGAAAATTTTAGGTTAGAATAAATGGTTCCTGTGTTACCGGAGAACATTGGTGGGTTTACCACCAGCAACCTCCTGATGGAGGTGGGGGTTAGTATGCCCCCACTCCCTGCCTTCCACACACCAGCATTTGGTTGAACAAAATTGATGATCTAGATCATTCAGCAAATGATAGATCTCCCTTAGTCAAGGGTTATTGTCCTCAAATCAAAAACAAATCCATGAGTTCTCTAAACTGGGTGTGTATTTTCTAGCTATTCCTCTTGCTACCTGTTACTGTCCCGTGTCGTCATACTTGTGTTAGGACAGTGTATTCAACTTTTTGAGTATTGTAAACTACTTTTTGGTATCAGGGTAATGCTAGAGTCATAAAATGAGTTGGGAAATATTCCTGCTTCTTGTATTTTTGGGGAAGAGATTATGTAGAATTGGTGTTATTTTTTATTTAAATGTGTTGTAGGGGACGCCTGGGTGGCTCAGTAGGTTAATAGTCTGCCTTTGGCTCAGGTCATGATCCCAGGCTCCTTGGTCATCAGGGAGCCTGCCTCTCCCCCTCTACCTTTCCTTTTCTCTGCTTGTGCTCTCTCTCTCTCTGGCAAACAAACAAACAAACAAATAAAAATCTTTAAAAATGTTTGGTAGAACTCACCAGTGAAACTATCTGGGTCTGGAGATTTTTTTAAAGATTAAAAATCGGGGTTCCTGGCTGGTTCAGTTGGTGGAGCGTGTGACTCTTGATCTCTGGGTTGTGAGTCTGAGCCCCACATTGACAGTAGAGATTACATAAAAAATTAAAAAATCCCCCCCAAAGAGGTTTAAAAATCATTAATTACATTTCTTTAATTGACAGAGGACTATTCAGTTTTTTCTTCCTAGTTTTTGTAGATTGTGACTTTCAAGGAATTGGTCCATTTCAGTGGGGTGGTTGGATTTATGTGCATAGAGTTTATAGTATTTCTTACAATACATTTAATATCTATAGAGTTTAGTGATATCCCTTCCTTCATTATTGATATTGGTAATTTTTGTTTCCCCGGTTTTCTTCTGTCCGTTTATCAGTTTTATTTGCCTTTTTAGACAATCAGCTCTTCATTCCATTGATTTACTTCTATGGATTTTCTGTTCAGTATTATTACTGTTCTTACTGTTTGCTTCTGTTTTAGATTTATTTTGCTCTTCCCCCCCAATTTTATTGATATAAAATTGAAATATGGCATTGTATAGTTTAAGGTACATGACATAATGACTTTCATATATTGTGAAATGATTATCACAGTAAGCTTAATGTCTACCATCTACAGACACCAAAAAAAAAATTCGTGATGGAACTCTTAAGATTTATTTATTTATTTATTTATTTTTAAAGGAAAGGATTTTTTTTTTAAAGATTTTATTTATTTATTTGAGAGAGAGACAGAGATCATGAGCAAGGGGGAGGGGTAGAGGGAGAAGCAGGGAATGCAGTGCGGGACTCGATCCCAGGACCCTGAGATCATGACCTGAGCTGAAGGCAGAGGCTTAACCGACTGAGCCACCCAGGCGCCCAAGATTTATTTTTTTTAACAGCTTTCAAAATAGCATACAGCAGTGTTAATTATAGTAATGATGTACATATTTGCTCTTTTTTAATTCTTTAAGTTGTTAATTTGAGAATTTTCTAATATAAACATTTGAGTGTCTTAGTTTCCTTCTAAGCACTACTTAAGCTACATCTTACAAATTTTATGTTTTTCATTTAGTTTAAAATATTTCTGATTTTCCTTAAGACTTCCTTTTTGACCCACGGATTATATACAACTAAATATTTATTTTCCGATACTACTGTGTTAATTCCTTCCAAATTAATTCCATTATAGTCAGAAAACATATTTGTATGACTCGAATCTTTTTAAATTTCTTCGGCTTCATTTTATGGTCAGGATATGGTTTATCTTGAATGAATGTTCCATGTTCACTTGAAGAAAATGTGTATTCTCTTTTGAGTGGAGCATCTTTAAATTTCTATAAATGTCAATTACATCCACTTGATAGTGATGTTAAATTCTGGTTTTCTTGTTATTCTCTCAACATGAGAGGAATGCTGAGTCTCTGTGGGTTTATTTTTCCTTTCAATTCCATCAGTTTTAATTTTATGTATTTTGAAGTTTTGTTAGGTGCATACACATATAGAATGTTATATGCTTTTGGTGAATTGGTTCTGTTATCATTTGGTAGTGTCCTTTATTTATTTATTTTTTTAAGATTTTTATTTGAGAGGGAGAGAATGAGAGCGAGAGCGAGAGAGAGAGAGAGCATGAGAGGGGGAGGGTCAGAGGGAGAAGCAGACTCCCTGCTGAGCAGGGAGCCCGATGCGGGACTCCAGGATCGTGACCTGAGCCAAAGTAGTCGCTTAACCAACTGAGCCACCCAGGCGCCCTGTCGTGTCCTTCGTTAGACTTGGTAATTTTTTTTTTTTGCGCTCAAGTCTAGTTTGATATTTGTGTAGCTACTCCAACTTTCTTTTGGTTAGTGGCAGTATGGTGTTACTGTTTCTAACCTTTTACTTTTAACCTTCCTCTATCATTGTACTTAAACTAGGTTTTTTTTTTTTTTAAAGATTTTATTTATTTATTTGAGAGAGAGAGAGAATAAGAGGTAGAAAGCATGAGAGGGAAGAGGGTCAGAGGGAGAAGCAGACTCCCTGCTGAGCAGGAAGCCCAATGCGGGACTCGATCCCGGGACTCCAGGATCATGACCTGAGCCGAAGGCAGTCGCTTAACCAACTGAGCCACCCAGGCGCCCTAAACTAGGTTTTTTGTAGATAGCGTATAGTTGGGTCTTTCTATTAAAAAAAAAAAAATACTCTGATACACTAAAGGAGAAAAATATGCAGCCAAGAATACTATATCCAGCTAGGCTGTCATTGAAAATAGAAGGAGAGTTAAAAAGCTTCCAGGACAAACAAAAACTAAAGGAATTTGCAAACAGAAAACCAGCCCTACAAGAAATATTGAAAGGGATCCTCTAAGCAAAGAGAGAGCCTAAAAGCAACATAGACCAGAAAGGAACACAGACAATACACAGTAACAGTCACTTTATAGGCAATACAGTGACACCAAATTCGTAACATTCAGTTACCCTGAATGTATATGGGCTAAATGCCCCAGTTAAATGCCCCAGATTGGATAAAAAAACAAGACCCATCGGTACGCTGTCTGCAAGAGACTCATTTTAGACCCATAGACACCCCCACATTGAAAGTGAGGGGGTGGAAAACCATTTACCATGCTAATGGACACCAAAAGAAAGCTGAGGTGGCAATCCTCATATCAGACAAATTAGATTTTAAACCAAAGACTGTAATAAGAGATGAGGAAGGACACTGTATCCTACTTAAAGGGTCTATCCAACAAGAAGATGTAACAATTGTAAATATCTATGCCCCTAACATGGGAGCAGCCAATTATATAAGGCAATTAATAACAGAAGCAAAGAAACACATTGACAACAATACAATAATAGTGGGGGACATTAACACCCCCCTGACTGAAATGGACAGATCCTCTAAGCAAAAGATCAACAAGGAAATAAAGACTTTAAATGACACACTGGACCAAATGGACTTCACAGACATATTCAGAGCATTCCATCCCAAAGCAACAGAATACACATTCTTCTCTAGTGCCCATGGAACATTCTCCAGAATAGATCACATCCTTGGTCACAAATCAGGTCTCAACCGGTACCAAAAGATTGGGATCATTCCCTGCATATTTTCAGACCACAGTGCTTTGAAACTAGAACTCATTCACAAGAGGAAAGTCGGAAAGAACTCAAATACATGGAGGTTAAAGAGCATCCTACTAAAGAATGAATGGGTCAACCAGTAAATTAAAGAAGAATTACACAAATTCCTGGAAACAAATGAAAATGAAAACACAACTGTTCAGAATCTTTGGGATACAGCAAAGGCAGTCCTAAGAGGAAAGTATATAGCCATACAAGCCTTTCTCAAGAAACAACAAAGGTCTCAATAAACAACCTAACTCTACACCTAAAGGAGCTGGAGAAAGAACAGCAAATAAAGCCTAAACCCAGCAAGAGAAGAGAAATCATAAAGATCAGAGCAGAAATCAATGAAATAGAAACCAAGGGAACAGTAGAACAGATCAATGAAAGTAGGAGCTGATTCTTTGAAAGAATTAACAAGATTGATAAACCCCTGGCCAGACTTATCAAAAAGAAAAATGACCCAAATCAACAAAATCATGAATGAAAGAGGAGATACCACAACCAACACCAAAGAAATACAAATATAAGAACATACTATGAGCAACTCTGTGCCAGCAAATTAGATAACCTGGAAGAAATGGATGCATTCCTAGAGATGTATCAACTACCAAAATTGAACCAGGAAGAAATAGAAAACCTGAACAGACCTATAACCACTAAGGAAATTGAAGCAGTCATCAAAAGCCTCCCAACAAACAAAAGCCCAGGGCCAGATGGCTTCCCAGGGGAATTCTACCAAACGTTTAAAGAAGAATTAATACCTATTCTTCTGACGCTGTTCCAAAAAATAGAAATGGAAGGAAAACTTCCAAACTCGTTTTATGAGGCCACCATTACCTTGATCCCCAAACCAAAGACCCCATCAAAAAGGAGAATTACAGACCAATATCCTTGATGAACATGGATGCGAAAGTTCTCACCAAAATACTAGCCAAAAGGATCCAGCAGTACATTAAAAGGATTATTCACCACGACCAAGTGGGATTTATCCCTGGGCTGCAAAGTTGGTTCAACATCCGCAAATCAATCAGCGTGATACAATACATTAATAAAATAAAGAACAAGAACCATATGGTCCTCTCAATAGATGCAGCAAAAGCATTTAACAAAGTACAGCATCCTTTCTTGATCAAAACTCTTCAGAGTATAGGGATAGAGGGTACATACCTCAATATCATAAAAGCCATCTGTGAAAAACCCACAGCGAATATCATTCTCAATGGGGGAAAACTGAGCGCTTTCCCCCTAAGGTCAGGAACACGGCAGGGATGGCCACTATCACCACTGCTATTCAACATAGTATTAGAAGTCCTAGCCACAGCAATCAGACAACAAAAAGAAATAAAAGACATCCAAATAGGCAAAGTTAAGAAGTGAAACTCTCACTCTTTGCAGATGATATGATACTGTATGTGGAAAACCCAAAAGACTCCACCCCAAAACTGCTATAACTCATACAGGAATTCAGAAAAGTGGCAGGATATAAAATCCATGCACAGAAATCAGTG